AGCCCCATCGGTTACACAGGCCCAAACACAGCCCAGATTAGCCCCATTGGTTACATAGACCCAAACATAGTTCTGTAGCAAAAGTAAAAATAGTTCATGAATCTGAAATGCAAACAGATAAATATGTTATAACAAGGTGTAGAGCTGGATGAACACAACAGGCCAAGCAGCATCAGAAGAGCAGGAAAGCTGACGTTTCGGGTCTAGACCCTTCTTCAGAAAATCTCAGATAAATATGTTCATTTTCCATAACATCAATTTTGCTAAAACTCACTGACTCCTCCCACACTCACTGAAATCCCACACTCACCAACCACGAACCACTACCCCCACACTCACTGACACTCCTTCTGCACCACAATGCTCACTGATCCCCTCTCCCTCAATCCAGGGGTCTCATTTTCTTTTGTCAAGGGCTTTTGAGATTTTCTGGGGCTAATTTCTGATTTTCAGGGGCTTCCATCATGTGATTCCATCATGTGATAATTATTTATAATAATAAATGCTTTCATTATTTGTGTTGTCATTTGTGCATTTGGACTCACATTGAAGCAGAATTAGAAGAATTCATCAATAATTATCAGCCCTCCAATAAAATCAAATCCACAACAGATAAGGTAAACATTAATTTCTTCGACCCCACGCTGAACCATTGTAATAAAGACAACAGAAACAAATTAGCAACTAAAGTTTATTGCAAATTAACTGACAGACAGCTCTGCACAAAAACCAAAACATTCTATGCAAATAAACCAATATCCTAAACGCACCTTCCACAGACTAGTGAACTAGTTTTGTAAAAAACTAGAAGATTTTAGGTAATTACAATCTTCTTTACTGCACCTCTGATCTCAAATTTAGGATTAAATTCAACAATTGACACAATTCATTACATTGTTTCCAAGTATGGGTACCTTGTGAGCTTACAACACCCTAAACTAGAGATTCCACTTTTATTTCCAACTAATTCATTAGTTTAGTAGTTTTAAGGTTTTCTGACTTGCAGTTAACTATGCATTCTTTTGCCAAAAAATTTAAAACTGTCTCTTGCCTTTGCAGCCTCCCCATCTTTCCTGCCTGTTCTTGCAGACTCTCTCACCCCCAAAATTCCCATTGAAAGTCCCTCACCCCTAACCTCCACACCCACCATCTCTTCTGCCTTGGTTGATGATAGGTTCACTGTGAACCAATCAGTAGCAAGCAAAGGAGAGGACCAGCCTGTGATTGGTGGATCATCCCCTCAGTGGTTCAGTCCACTTTATTGATGGGGGTGATTTTGCTCTGACTCGTTCACACTGTGGCTAAACTTTCCTCAGTATTCTGGGTTGTGGGAGGTGAATTCCCCCCATCAGCCCTCCACTGGTATATTCGAGTGTTGTCGCTCACACAGCCTTCTCCTCAGCACTCACACTGAAGTTAAGCTGGAACATATACAGTCTGAATTAGAAACCAGGACTAGACCATGACCCAGACTATTCTAGACCACAACCCAAGTTGGAGGCATGAGGACGAGCTCAGGAGAGTGGGGATGGTTAAGGTCTTTGCTCCAGCCCTCAGACCCTCCTGGTGGGGATTGTATGTCCATGGTAAAGAGTCGGTGGCTGGAACCTGCAAACTGGGAGATTTGAAACCGGCGTAAGGTGTCAGAGGAATCACGGATGTACATGGGCAGGAATTGGACCAGGAAGAGAAGACTGAGTCAAGGTAGGAACAGATAAGTTCTGTGGGACTGGGGCAGGAGCAGGTACATATCCAGACACATATTCCCCTTCCCTCCCCTCCCTTATCTCCCTTCTGCAGAGACCGTTCCCTCCAGGACACCCTGGTCCACTCTTCCTTCACCCCAACTTCCTCCCCAACTTCCTCCCCACAGCCCTACGGCACCTTCCCCTGCAACTGGCGAAGGTGCAACACCTGCCCATTTACCTGCTCCCTCCCCACTATCCAAGGGCCCAAACATACCTTCCAGGTGAAACAGCACTTTATTTGCACTTCCCACAATCTAGTCTACTGTATTCGCTGCTCACAATGTGGTCTCCTCTACACTGGGGAAACGAATCTTAGACTGAGTGACCGCCTCACAAAAAAGACCCTGAACTACCTGTTGCCTGCCACTTTAACACAGCATCCTGTTCCCTGGCCAACATCTCTGCCTCAGGCTAGCTGCAGTGTTCCAGCAAAGCTCAGTTCAAGCTGGAAGAACAACACCTCATTTTCCACTTGGGGACCCTGCAGCCCTCTGGACTCAATATCGAGCTCAATAATTTTAGGGCCTAAACTCTCCCATGTCCTAGCCCCCTACCCTACACACCAGGCCTTGTTACCACATAGCCTGGCATTACACACTATCTACTGTCAGTCACTGATAATCCTCATTAACAACTATTCACCCTCCCAGCCTGATCGTTATCAACTCTGTCTGTCCATCTGCTCTTCTCTAAATAAAAACCAAAAGAACTGCGGATGCTGTAAATCAGGAACCAAAACAAAGTTGCTGGAAAAGCTTAGCAGGTCTGGCAGCATCTGTGAAGGAGAAAACAGAGTTAACGTTTCAGGTCTGGTGATCCTTCCTCAGAACTGACCTCAACCCGGACTAGACTGGACCGCGACCCGGGCTGGACTGGAACGTGATCCGGGCTGGACTGGACCGTGACCCAGACTGGAATGGACCGGACTGGACTGGACCGGACCGTGACCCAGACTGGACTGGACTAGACCGCGACCCGGACTGGATGAATACTGTCACCTGTTATTCGCCCCACTCTGTAGGGCACGTAACTCCCTGCATATCCGGCCACATGCGCCCCGAGACTGTACCCCAACATATGGACTTCTTCAGAGGGAAAGTTCAGCTCCTCCTAAAGAGAGGAAAAGATTTAAAAAAAACACGCTTATTCCTTCACTTCATCTCAACAGCATTGCTCAGGCTGGAGCAGGCCATTCAGCCCCTCGGCTCATTAACATGGGAATAGAGGACTGGTTTCTTACCTCCATTTGCTCACTTTTAATCCATTACATTGGGGATAATTATTAAAATTCTAAACAGAAGTAAAGTTTGATTGAGTTGTCAAATCAAATCAAATTAAACTCAATGGTCTCTCAATGTTGACCTTTAACCTGTGGTCTAATTGGTATAGACAAGGACACAGGCAGGATCCTCGAGTAAAAACTATTTGAAGCATATTCCCAACCACGGGATGGGGTGTGATTTGTTGGTTTCTGGACACAGTCAATCAGTCAGTCCCATTGACTCAGCCACAATCAGTGGAAGTGCTGTGATTGAAGACAGTCATCCTAACTCCAGCATCAGCACAGAATTGAACAGGCTATTCAATGGATAGGCACACACAGGGAAAATAAAGGAATGACCGAACATTGCAAACTGGCCCATTCCAAGGTCCAGGACTATGTGCTGAGGGACACACTAAAGCTTGGGGCAGCTGATGCCAAGTGGGGAACGGCCACTGTCTGAGGTCTTCCTGCTGAAGGTAAATGGGAGTCGGTTCAGTTATCGGACACTCCTATCACCTCAAATATATGTAATTATTAGTACTGTATGTCTAAGAGAGGTCTGTCTTTTTTTGGATAGAGTCAAAGTCCAATGTTTTGTCTATTTACTTGATATGCAACTGTACAGAACCAAACTACTTTTGTGACAATGTACATATACAGAGAGATGTTTTCATGAATAAAGTATATTTTTAACATTAAAACAAAGCATGGAACATACCTTTGATAAGACCAAGAGCTACAGAGACACAACTACCAGATGTTCAATCAGTCCCCAGGCGGTCACTCTCTGGGTCAGCTGTCCCCAGGCGGTCACT